GAGAATAAGCAGAGTGAATGGCTGTACTGGAGATGAATCAGCCCTCTTCCTTGAGGAGCAACTGCCTTTGGCTACTTGGAGCTAAAAGCTACAGTAATAAATTTTAAGGCCTGAAAAGATCATTACAGTCATCTAGCCCAGCTGCACACTCACCCAGGACTCTGGATTTCCTGAAGTCATTCCCTCCTGCCCCTCCTGCCGACACAGGGACACAGCTGAGGTCCCTGCCTCCTCTGCTCTCAGTCGGAGGCTCTTCCCAGTGTGCCAGTGCCACCACCAATCTGACCGCCATGCCAGACTTCTGCAGGGCCTCCCCATGGCACCATAGCCAGGCAACTAGCGTGTTTCTGGCCAAGAGAGCTTTTATATCCAGCTCCCGGGTGGTGCTGGCTCATGCTCTGCATCAGAGCAGCACATCCAGCAGCAGTTTTGCCCATGCGGCTCCAGGTCCATGCTCAAATGTCTGCTATAGAAACCTCAGGCAACAGCCGACCCGAACTGCAGATCTGAAGATGGCTTCATCTGGTTTGTGAGTTGTACTTCTTAGAAACCATTGGGCCTCACATCACAGTACCTATGCTCCTGGGATAGCAACACCCAGCTACCTGGGGAACAGGCGGGTAGAACAACTCAGTTGGGAGAAGTTGGATTTTCTGCTGATGTTTCTCTGCTGGCCTCCATGACCTTAGAAAAAGGCCAGTGTTACACTGTGATGGAAACATGTGGGCCAGAAATGGGAAACAAGAGACTCGAATGGGCTTTTCTTGAAAAATCCTGCCCAGCCCAGCGAAGACTTCCTTCTTTATAAAGATGGGTCACCTCCATGCCAAGCCCTTGAACTGAAGAACAACACAAGTTCTCCATATGCCCCATGAGCTCGTGTGGACAGAGTTCCAAAAAGAAAAGGAATGAGTGAGTGTTTCCCATTCTGGAGGGGCAGGCCAAAGAAAGGCCAGGCAATGGGAAGGTTGTGGTGTATCACGAAACAGCAAATCACCCCCTCGGTGACCTTGGCAGGCACACCCCAAGAAAGGAAGGAAGGGGGGCTGCAGTCTTGTGTCTCCAGGAATATCTCAACATCATCTTGTCCTGCACACTTGGCTTTGTTTGCTACAGGGAGCCCCAGCTCCTCCCTTCAGTCAGGTCAGTGCAATTTGGGAGAAACAGGCGCAAGTGTAAGTTTCTCCTGTCAGCTCCTTGGCAAGTCGAAGAGACAGCCACAATTTGCCCTAAAAAGAAAATTCTAATTCTTAACATTGTACGTCATGGTTTCTGTGAGCAGTGCAATTTACAGGCCGACAAGCGAGGCCGGTGGAGCCCAGGCTGCGGCCAACCCCAGCACTGAGTCCATCAGCCATGGAAATGCTGAAGTGACAGGTCCACTTCGTTAACCAGAGGCACAGTGTTTCCTGGGCACCCACAAGCAAGGGAAGAGAAAATGCTGTTCCAGGGGTGGGAGAGAACCGGAGCCTAGGGAACACTTCGGGATGGAGGGCAAAAACAGCGCCTGCCCCAGTGCCAGAGACCAGACAGGCTTCGATCCCAAGGTCACATGAGCATGTTTCCATCAACACCAATGGTGACCTTAACGAGAACACAAAACCTGCTTTTCCTTTGGAGGGACATAAGCTCTCCAAAGCAGCACATGTCATGCCTAGGTGGAGAAATGCCCATTTTCCTCTCTCTGTACCCAGAGCTGGAGGCTCTGCAGAGAGCTGCTGAAATCTGAACAAAAAGTCCTCGGCTCCTTCCCTGAGTTTGTTGTGGGGTTTATTTCTCCCCCCCTGCTCCCAAGTGTTTTCTTCTAAATCCCTTCCTGCGTTTTCCCCTTTTATCACTGCCCTGTGAACATCCATCTGGGTAGCTCGCCAGCCCTCCCCACTGGGTAGCTCACCAGCTTTTGCCCATACTAAACATGACAAGATTTTTACTTTGAAGCAGATGTAATGTTTGGTTTTGCCCAGCCTTAGGTGAGAATACAAGGAGTTCCAGTCCCCTTGCCTCCTCATTCTGAAAACACTCCCCTAGGTAAGTAAACAACTCCTAAGCTTAAGAGGATGCACTGGGGTGCCAGGAAAGCCCTCAGCTGTTGAAACTGTTTGGAAATCACCGTTTTCTGATGCTGTAAAACAAGAGTTAATGCATGTTTCCACTGTGGAGGGCTGTTTGCGTTTGGATTTTGTTGGGGTTTGTTTTGTTTTGTTTTTTTTTAAGAAGGAAAAAAATTCCTTTCATTCTTTGCCAGCAATTTCCATGGAAATAAAGTTTCCAGCAAAAACTCTGTGCCCAAACGAGAATATTTTATCCAGAAAGTGAAAGATTTTTCTCTGAACAATTGCGAGATTTCATCCAAAACTCTTGAGCGGCTTCAATCCGAAATGTTTCGCTTGTTGGCTGGAGACAAAGCACCGCCGAGCGAGTCCCCCGGTCTCCAGGCAGGCCTGGCGCGGGGCTCTCGGCCCGCGGGGATGCTCCCGCGCCAGGGCCGGGCCAGGGCGAGGCGGGGCGGGCACCGGCCGGGGCGCAGGGCCCCGTCCCGCCGTGGGGCTGGGATGGGGGGCAGCAGCTCCCCGGCGCGGGTGGGAACAATCGCCGCGTTGTCCGGCCGCGGCCGCCGGCGCGGCGGCTCCCGCGCCCCGGTCCCCGTGCCCTGCGGGGACAACGCTGGCGGGGCCGCCCTGCTCCGCGCTCGCCGCCGCCGCTCAGTCTGGCCCCGGCGGCGGGAGGCGGGAGGAGCGGGGGGGTGCGGGTGGCGTGCAGGTAGCGCGGCGGCCCCGCGCAGCCACACCGTGGCGCTCTTGTCACGGGCATCGCCGTCGCGATGCCTCCGACGTGTCCGCGCCCGCGGCGGACCCGCACCCTTCGCGGAGGGACCGGCAGGGACCGCGACCTTCAACCCTCCCGACAGCATCGCGGATGAGCTGGGTCTGGGCCCGAGAGGGCCGGGGGTGGACGCGGGGGCCTCGCGCAGCCGCTGCGGCGGCGCGGCGGGCATGTGCCGGTAAACAATGACCATATTGTGAAATAGAAAACAGACTCCGGCTCCCTCAGAAAGGCTCGCTCCCCACCGGATGTGTTAAATAAAAACCGCTGGGGGAAAAAAAACAGCAGAAAGTCAAGAAAATCGGGTTTGGGCCGGGAAGGACGGGGGCGGGAAACCTGCGAGCGGGCGGGTTTGTGTGCCCGCCTCACGGTAGCCCTCGCACGGACTGCCGCGGCTGCGGTGCCCTCAGAGAACCTAGCTCGGGGGGGAGGGGGGGGACGGGGACGGGCGGTCCTGCCCGATGGATTTCTGCCTTTTTTTAATGTTTTTCTTTTAATATCGAAACTTTTGGGGGTTTCCCCTGTCTTGCCACTAAATAAAGCAAGAGCAAACTTTCCCTGATGCAGGATCCAGAACCCTCGGTGAGCTGCAAATCCCAGCCCTGAGGAGGTAGTCTGGGCCGGGACCCGCTCCCATCCGATCGCCCGGTTCCCCTCCTGCCTGCTCCCTTCAAACGGCACCTTCCTGCCCGGACGTGTTGAAGTGCAGCGCCCTGGAATTTATGATACAAATAGGCTTCCCCCCACCATCCCCCTCTCCCCCTCTCCATCCTTTTAAAGTATCTACCGTCCCCTCCAACTGGATGCAAATTGGGAGCTTTAATAAACTTGCTTTCTTCCCCCTCCCAGCCGTAAATATATATATGGAATATATGAACGTATAGGAACCCTCTCCGGTTTCTCTCTTTAGAGAAAAAAAAAAAATAAAGGGTAGGGGGGAGATATTTCCAATGGATTTAAGTAAGTGATTCATCTAATGAAATGCTTAGGGATTTGTTTAATATGATTTTATATGAGCTGTGGACATTTCCAAAGCAAACAATAAGTTCAAGTACAACATGCATGGTTGTGTTACAAGTGTTACCCAGCTGGCTGGGAGATCTTCGGTGAGCAAACAGGCTAAATCTGGAGAGTAAACAACTTCAGAAAAATCTACAACTCCAGGTCACTGAAAACAGCTTTTTGTTTTCCCTCGTGTCTAGTAAAATCTGATCCTTTTTTCTCTCTCTCTTTTTTCCTGCCACGCGTCTGTAAAATCACCGGGGACGGGCATCGGCATCACCAGCCCGCGGCTCGCCCCGGCCCGGCCGCGGAGCCCATCGCGTGGGACCTCGGTGCATAGACGTGTGTGGAAGACCGGTTGCTGGTGAAGAAAGATGCTGAGGGGAGGGGGGGGAAAGAGGGAACAACACCAGCCTCTTCGGGGGGTCTGTCACCCGGAAACCGGGCTCCGACTGGTCCTGCCCACGCGGGAGCATGGTTTGGACTCCTCTCAGAGGGGCATTAGACCCTGGGCCGGAGCGTGAGCATGACCACGGTGCTGTGAGAGCGGCCATGCGTGGGGACAAGCGGCTAGCGGCGTGCCCTGGGGCTTCGTGCTGCAGCCAGGCCGGTGAGGACCCCCAGGCCTCAGTAGCTTCCCGGCACCCCTGTGGCAGAGCGTCTCCAGGTAGTGCTGGGGTCCTGGACGCAGGAAATGATGTAACTAAAATTCACAATTCTGGGGAGTTCATACGATGCACGTTAACGCGGAGGTCCCGGACGGCGTCCACCCCGGGAGAGGGAGAACGACCCGGGTGAAACGACCCCGGTTAGACTGCTATGGTTACTGCCACCAGACCAGAAACCGCGCTGGGAGGCAGAAGCGCCCAGTGCGTAGTTCCCAAGCCCTCAGCGTAGCCAAGAGGGACCGGACGGCTGCCGCCTCCGGGGCGCTGCGGGCTGGAGGTGAGGAGTGGCTGTGGCGGCCGAGCCCCCTCCCCGGCTGGGGTTGAGGGAGCCGGAAACCTCCCTATCGCGACGCTCCGGCTCGGAGATTGCTGTTGGTATTCACTTTAAAAGAGCCTGAATGGGACTTCTTTTTTTTTTTTTTTTTTACTTCCCCCCACTTTTTTTTTTTTTTAAAGCCAAAGCTTTGTTGTGCTAAACTAGTTGGACGAGTTAGGGTGTCGCTGCTCCCGATTGCTCTGGCCAATGGAACCCGATCCACCCTGCTGTGCGTAAGAGCGCAATTAAGGATTTAACCAAGCCTATGCTGCGCCCCAGCCAGCAGTCTGCCGGAGACAGACACAGCGCCGCAGCCTCCTCCCCCAGACATGTCTGCTTAGACCCGAGCAGCCCCACAGCCAGCTCCAGCCAGCCGCCGGCTCCGAGCTATGACAGGAGTATTTGACAGAAGGGTCCCCAACATCAGGTCCGGCGACTTTCAGGCTCCTTTCCAGACGGCCGCAGCCATGCACCACCCGTCCCAGGAATCTCCCACTTTACCCGAGTCCTCGGCTACGGATTCCGACTACTACAGCCCTGCTGGGGGAGCCCCGCACGGCTACTGCTCGCCTACCTCGGCTTCCTACGGCAAAGCGCTCAACCCCTACCAGTATCAGTACCACGGTATGAACGGATCTGCCGGGAACTATCCTGCCAAAGCCTACGCCGACTACAGCTACGCCAGCCCCTACCATCAGTACAGCGGGGCTTACAACCGTGTACAGAGCTCCGCCAGCCAGCCAGGTGAGAGCGGGGGGCAGGGGCGGCAGACCCCGAGGCGAGGGGGGAACATAAGGGACCGGGACAGCGACCCCCGCACATCCCTGCCCAGTGTGGAGGCGGCTTGCCCTGAGACATCGAGAGAAGTTAAAAAATAGTAATTAAAAGAAAGAAAGGAAAACAAATAAGGGAAAAAATCGAAGGGGGGGGGGGATAAAAAGGAAAATTACAGGGAAAAAAAAAAAGGTGAAAGCTGTTCGAGTTTTCCTGCCCAGCCCGCAGGATCTACAACGCAAATCCTGGGACAGTACTTTAGGGAAGCAAGCGTCCGTCAGCTGCCCCCCGCCCCCGAGCTCCCCCAGCTGCCTCCCTCCTGCTTCCCCCCGCAGGAAGAGCGGAGAAAATAGCTAAGCCTTGTTGCATGTCTCAAACTCGGGTTCGCGATGGCAAAGAAAGTTTCCTTCCCTCTGTGCTGGAGGGGAGAAGAAGGAGGCTGGGAGGGGGAGCCCGGGCGTGATGAGGCTGCGGAGCCGGGGGGGGTTGTCCCAGAAAGCACCGAGGTTTTAGCGTTTTCCATTTACTTTTTGTAAGTTGTTGAGGAGGAGGAAATGTGGGGACAGGAAAGAAAATCCTAAACCCAGCCGTAGCCAAGCCAGGCGGCCGGGGCTTGGCTGGGACGGTGCCGCAGCGGCGGCACCTGGGGACAAGCCGGCAGCGCTGCGGACGGCTCGGTTGTGAGGGGGAATATGCCGGTGCCCCGGCTGGGTCTCGGCTCCTCTCCGGGCTGGCCTCTGCCCAGCGGGGCACCGGTCATCCCCCTAATCCCCGCGGCTGCCGCGCATGCCCCGCGCCCCCGTCCGCGCCCGCGCAGCGATGCGCTGCGCACCAGTTGGGATGCCCGTGGCGGCCGGGGTGGGCAAGGCCCTTCCCGGAGGGGGCGCGGCCCCCCGCGCTGCATGGCGCGGAGCCGGCGGAGGGTGCGTGGGACCGCGTCCCAGCAGCGGGAGCCCCGGGGAGAGCCGCGGGGACCAGTCGGGCAGGCGCCTCTCCCCGGCCCGGCCCGCGGGAGGGATGCCGGCGGCGCAGGCTGCGCGGGGAGGAGCGGCGCGGAGCGGAGCCGTGTCCCGCGCCTTAACGTCTGCGTCTGTGTCTCTCTCCCGCCCTTGCGCCCGTGCAGAGAAGGAGGTGGCGGAGCCCGAGGTCAGGATGGTGAACGGCAAACCAAAGAAAGTGCGCAAACCCCGGACTATTTATTCCAGCTTTCAGCTGGCGGCGTTGCAGAGGAGGTTTCAGAAGACCCAGTACCTCGCCCTGCCCGAGCGGGCCGAGCTGGCCGCCTCTCTGGGACTCACGCAGACACAGGTACCGCGCTTGTCTTGGTTCAGCTCGGCTCGGGCCGGCGGGGCGCAGAGCCCTGGGCCTCCGCGGCGGGGAGGGATGGTCGGGATCGTGCCCCACGGAGGGGCCGGTAGGGCGGCGGGGGAGAGGGTCCTTCGCAGTCGCAGAGCGCCGTATTGCCAGGCGGGCATTAATGGTGTCGGTTTCCCTCCCCCCCTCCCTCTTTCCTCCCCTCTTCTCCCGCCCCCCTCCCAGGTGAAAATTTGGTTTCAGAATAAAAGATCCAAGATCAAGAAGATCATGAAGAACGGGGAGATGCCTCCAGAGCACAGCCCCAGCTCCAGCGACCCCATGGCCTGCAACTCTCCACAGTCACCTGCGGTTTGGGAACCTCAGGGCTCGTCCCGCTCCCTCAGCCACCATGCCCACGCACATGCTCACCCTCCAAACTCCAACCCGTCCCCTGCATCCAGCTACCTGGAGAGCTCCGCTTCCTGGTACCCCGCTGCCAACTCCATCAACTCCCACCTCCAACCCCACGGCTCCCTACAGCACCCGTTAGCGCTGGCCTCTGGGACAATCTATTAGAGTCTGCCCCCTATTATTTTATTTTTTATTTTTTTGTTTTGTTTTGTTCCTTGGACTCCCGTGTTTTACTGTTAAGGAATAATAACGAAAGGAATGCATATGGGGAATTTTTAAAAGGGAAAAGAAACAAACAAAAAGATTAAAACGTGTAAAGCTTGTGCATGTAACTTATTGCATTTCAAAGGAAACCCTTTTTTTATACAATACGGACATTTTTTGGCTCAGCTGTGGACACTATCAATGGTGCCTTGAAATCTATGACCTCAACTTTTCCAGAGACTTTTTTTCAATGTTATTTTAACCCTGTAAATAATTGTAGATAGAGGAATTAAACTGTATATTCTGAATAAAATAAAATTATTTCGACCACGAGAAACGTTTCCAAATTACCCCTTTTTCTATCGATAAGAGGGAAAATAATGTTAAGAATTATCATAATGCCAATTTGCTTGCGGAGAGCGAGGGAGGAAAGAGGGATTTTGATGGGCCTGATCCTGGGAACCCCTGTTCAGTCACCGGGCCAGGTCGGGCCGTGCCAGCGCAGCCCGAGTATATCGGCAGGATCTGTTCCTTGTAGGTATCTCCCCAGGGGCGAGCCGATGTCCGGCGATGCTCTCTCCCCGCTGGAAAAGGGGCTTTTGCCGGATCACTTACACCTTCTTGCACAATGATTTAAGCTGAAGCCATAGCTGCCCATCCTGACGGTAGAAATTAAATATCTCGTCTTAAGCCGCCCTGAATCCTTTCCTGAGAGCAATTAGCGTCGAGAGCTGCACACTCCACAGCCCATCAGTCGCCCGTGTGCGCTCAGCTAATTACACAAATTACGTTTCCGTCAAAGGGAGCCACTAAATGTGAGAAAAGGATAAAATGAGGGCCCCGCTCCCTTCACTCCTGGTAAAAGCCTGCGGCAGCTCCGGCTGAAGGAGGCACGTTGCGAGGTACTTGTATTTGATTTTTTTTATTTCTATTTGCACGATTTAGGTCAGACCCCAGCGGCGGAGCCGTGCCTGGCGCAGCCCAGTGCTGAAGCCCCTCTCCCAGCAGAACCCCCAGGTTTTCCCCGGCAGCCACCGGGGTCCCCAAGGCGACCCACGTTCCCGCGGGGCTCCCACCTCTCCTCGGCCATCAGGGAATTCGGGGCCGCTTGGGGTAAGGTGGCAGCAGGGAACGTGCCAAAGGCGTCGCTCGAAGGATCCCCGAGATTAACACCCCACTCCCCAACCCCCCCCACCCCGCTGCCACCCGAGGCTGGCGGGGCTGGGAGGCGAGGCTTGGAAAGGCACCTCCTGCCCTGGGGCGCACTTACCTGTCTCTAGTCTTCCTCCCTGCTGCCCTCCCCCTCCTTCCTTCTCCCTCCGCTCCCGCCTGCCATGTTTTGTGCGTGTGCGTGTGCGTGTTTCGCCACGAAGAAAGAAGCCCGGGGTTGCTGTTTTGTAACAGGTTCGGGGGTTGGTAAATGGCTCGCAGTACAATAGACCAGTTTGTTCGGTAGTGCTGCTCCCTGCACGCCGGGGAGGGACGCGTGGGTGCCGGCGGAGGGCGGCAGGGGCCGCACCGGCTGCCCACCCCTGCCCGCTGCCTGGTAGCGGGCCTCCCCGCCGCTCCCCGCGTCGCCTCCGCGGCTCTGAGGACCGACCGCTGCTCGGTTCACTTGCAAAGTTTCAGGGACTTTCCGCTAGCTGAAAAGCTTGGCTTTGGATCTTCTGCTAACTTCCACCCCGTGCAAAATAAAGCCCGACTTTTTCCTCCATTCTTTTCCTCGTTTCCCTCTAGAAAAGCATTAATATTTCCTTTTCAACCTGCAGTAAGAGATTCTCCCCTCCCCGAGGTCCCTTCCCTTTGCAGAAAGGCTTGGATACCAGAGGTGGAAGTCTATTTCCCAGGTGGATCCACCCACTCCTTTCTTTGAGGAGCTGCCGCTGGGCCGGTGGTGACGGTGACCTGCAGGGACCGGAAGGGCTCGGGCGGACAGCGTAGGAACAGCTCTGGGGAGGCGGGATGCCGGCAAGGCGGGATGCCAGGCAGGGATGGGAATTCACACAGAGTTACTGGGCCCTGACATCGCTCACCTCTCCAGCCAGCCGAGTCAGCTCGGTTCGGCTTCCATGCCGGTCCTCCTCCTCTGCTTAAGTTCTCCTCCTCCCAGCTTGAGGTGCTGTTGGGCAGGTCGGGGAGAGCCTGGCACCTCTTCCCTGGGAAGGGTAGCCAGGCCCCATTCAGGAGATGCCTGGGGTCCCCGTGGCCTCAATGCCCAATGGGGGATCTACAGCCGCCCGTCGTTCTTAAGAGCCCCTGTCAGAGCACGGTGGATGGATGTTCTGTCCCCACCATATCCCTTATACGCAGACAGACACAGCCCGGCGACTCTCTCCGCCGGGACGCACCCCCGGGGCTCCGGCGGCGGCCGGAGGGAGCCTGGCTAGTCCGGGCCTCCCCCCCTGCCTCCCCGGGCAAGGGATGGGATGAACTGTCCTTTGTCTCACGCTGGGTTTAGGCTCGGCGGATTACTGGCTCGGGCTTTTTTTTTTTTTTTTTTTCTTTTGACTCCCTCTCTCTTTCCCTCCCTTCTGTTTTCCTGGCGGCCACTTCCATGTGGAGCCGGGGCAGCTCGGGGAGCCGAGAGGAGCCACATTCCTGTGGGTGCCGAGCGGCTCCAGGGCTGAGCCACAGGGCTTGACATACACACAGAGGCACAGACACACAGGCGCACAGGGAGAGGAGCCTGCAGCCCCGGCTGCCCCAGACCCAACGCTCCCGACTCTGCCCGCTCCCTGAGGCTCTCCCACTCACAGCAGATCCAACATCCCCTGCGCTCACCCACAAATGGGGCACACACCCACAGCACCCACACCCGAACCCACGCACCGATACCGGGGGAACCCTTTCTCTCGTTCCCCAAAGACCCCTCGCTGCTCCCGCCCGGCAATCTCCCCCTCTGTCCGGGAGAGCGCCGCTGCCACCTCGCCAAGCCATTCGGGTTCCCTCCCCCTTCACCTCAGGGAAAAGCACCAACCCACCCCTCCAACCTGTCGCCGCCTCAAGGCAGCCCGGCCCGCTCGCCAGGCTGTTCTGTAGCCCTCGTCTCCCTGCGGTGTCCCCCATAAATTCGGTCCCCCCCGGGCGCTGCCCGCTCCGCCGCCGGCAGCACTCTATCCCGAGCGTGCATTGCACATGTGGCATCCATTACAGATTTCTACCACGCAGTTTTGCGACTGACAGACTTTAGGTAGTTCGGTTGTGGATTACGGAAAGGAGATCTATTGCTTCAGGAAAATCGGGGGGGCGGTGGAGGGGGACAATCCCCTCTTCTTTCTCTCAGTCATTTGAGCGGCTGCCTGCAGTAACGCAATAACCTGCTTTATAGGTCAGACAAGAGCCGTGAAAACAGGAACCGCGGAGTTTACATTAAGACTCCCTTTCTCTCTCTTTTTAGGGAGAATCTCTGTTGCATCAATTCAATGTTTCTCCTCTTTGTTCGGCAGTGCGCCTATTTCCATGCGATGTGGGAGGATAAGCAATGGTTTATCTTCTATCCTCTAAGATAAACCAGGACTACAGACACGATAAATCCCGACACGCACCCACGCCCGGGTATCTGTGTGAACACCTTCCACGGACACGACCTTCAAAGCCGCAGGAAAAACTCCCAGCCCCTCTCGCCTCCTCACCCTTTAGGTGAGGGCCCGGTCAGGATCCACGATGGCTCCAGTCCTTGGCACGGAGGAGCCTTGAGATGGCTCCTTCCTACCTCCTGCTCCTAGGCAGTCCGGAGAGGTTGCCTAAACCTCAGCCTGAGCTTTGTAGCAGGGATCAGCGAGCCTTGCCGGGCCGGATCCTGACCTGGCTCCATGCTCTGCAGCGCATCCCCTGCCTGACTGTGGGGCTGTCCCTCCATCCCAGGGAATACTCGCCGTCCCCTCCATATGCATCGTATAACCCGCTTCATAGGGCTTTCTCCTCGCGGTATCCACTGAGCGTTCTTTTCCCTTTCTTCGCGTTATTTTTTATTAATTTTAATATAATTAATTTTATTAATTCCCGTTCCCGTGCAGAGGACGACAGGACTGCAGCGGGGGGGGGGGGGGTCTGGGGGCTGGCCGGTGGGGGCGGGGATTGGCAATAAGGGCCCCCTCCTGACTGCTCTCAAGCCGCCCCTGCCCTGAGGTACCTGTCGGCGGGACAGCAACACCACTTTGATGATTTGGGCCACTAAAAATGAAGCAGGTTTGTGCATTTCGTGTCCAGGGTTAATAAAACCTAATCAGGAGTGGAAAGCCAACTAACCCAATGAGTTAACCTCGCTAGCTGCAGGTAGTCCTGTTAGCCAGGCTCTTTCAGTTAATTAATTACAATTGAGTCGGTTCTGTGATAATTTCCTCAAGGACCCCTGAGGACTGGTCCAGCGGGAGCGCAAAAGGCGGCGGACTCTGCAGCTTCCCGCGGAGGGAGCGCGGCCCCCGTGTCCCGCACCCCTCACCTTCCCCGCCCGGCTACGAGGCTCCTGAGGCTTCTTCCCTCAAGCTGTGGTTCAGGAACCCGAGAGGAAGCAGAGGACAAGGGGGACCCCGCTTCTGGGGACGACTGGGAACCCCGCGGGTACCGGGAGAGGCTGCGGGAAGAGCGGAGCCGGGAGGTGGCCTAGGGCAGAGGATGCCTGGAGCATCCTCCTCCCCCTCCTGCACATCAGGCTCTCCCTCCTCTGGATTTGGACACGTAGCGATTCAGACCACTGATTTGTTATTTTCTTAATTCCCGCTCTTCTCATTCCCTATGAATCAAACAGTCTTTTGTCCTTCAGAGTTTGATTTGATCGCTACTGTTCACATTTCACTTTTGTATTTTTCTCTCCCTATACCATTACTCATTGAGTGCCCCGTGAAATTACAATCGTACATTTTCAACTCAGCAACCCATTTGCAGTGCAAAAATAGGGTCTAAATAATGGCTGAATTAGCCCTACTGGACAGTTTCAGATGTAACACTCTGTAATAATTATATTGCAGGCTGGATTAGGATGCTATTATCATAATCTGGACGTTTACAATTATCTGTAATTTGCAAAGATGCGCCAGGTCTTGATTACAGCAGGGTTTTTTTTATCAAGCTAACCATCACTAAACAGTGACAGTAATAACAGCTAATTTTGCTGGCAATATAAGAGGTGCTGGGGTGTGCAAACAATTTCACACCTGGATGTGCTCACTCAACCAAGAATATAGAGAAAGAGCTTCTGCCCTGAGACTCAGAAAAATATTCTCCACTGCTTCTGTTCAGTGTAGATTTCTAGACCCCGAGCCTTGCTTAGCAGATTTGCACAGGGGGTAAGTTTTGGGGCTCGCTTGGGTTTGGGGTCGCTTTGTGGCTGCTTCGCGC